CGCCTTCCACCGTCATACGCGGTCACGGCACCGGATTCGAGATCCTAAGACCAGGCTCGCTGAACCCCACCTTGCCGGTCGACGAGCACCCAATGCAGCGACAACGAGCTGCGCCGCCAATCTCTTTGCACAACACTTACCGGTCACGGTCGCGCTCCAGTAGTGCTGGGTCTGTAGCTGGTCGGAGGCTGCAGAAGAAGAGGAGGCAGAGCTTCGGTTCCACGACGAGCTCCGCAGATTGAGATCGCCGCAGGAAGGGGCGGCGATGAGGTGCTACGATTTATGTCTTGTGAGACTGGTGTTCTGGGACAAAGGGAGGTGTACATCAATGTAGTATAGGCCGGATCGCATCGAGGATTACTGTATACGACCACTCACGATTTCTATCATCGTCTCTCCAACAGTAATATACGTGTTGCAGAAGTGTTTGTTGAGGTTCATCATCAGTCTTGGGCTGCCTGACGAGGCTGACAACCACCCGACTCCTCCGGACCCAGCGTTGGTAATCAGCAAACCAACTCATACCCTTTCCTTCACCATCACCATGCCACCCTGATCCTATCTCACTACTGCATTTCACTCGCTCAGTGCAGTCAGTACCACCATGGAGCACACAGACCACGCCCCCAACACCGTACCAACAAACCCCTTCGAGCACGCCGACGACGGCTCCGACACCACAGCCGCGGGCCCGGAAGCCGCGCTCGTCCTCAACGTCGGGCGCAACGCGACCCTGACCCTCGGAACCGATGCCCTGATCGTGCTGGACGAAGGCCTCAAACACCAGCGAGCGCCAGGGAACCTCTGTGGACTGCTTCCGCAGTTCTCTAAGACCACGCGGGCGGTGCCTTTCTATAACGTGCTGTGGGCGGAGCTGGATAGTTTCGAAGTGGTCATACATTATGCGCAGCCGACGGGGAAGGAGGGGTGCAGGGTGGAGTGTGTCTGCTACACGGTCATGGACAAGACGCTGCACGGGTATACCAAGACATGGGTGGACGCGCTGATGGATCGCGCCTACCCGAGCAATACCAAGCGGAGGAAGAGGATGAAAGTCCTCATCAATCCCTTCGGCGGGCAGGGCCACGCGCAGAGGTTATGGGCGAGAGAAGTGGAGCCCATTTTCGCCGCGGCGCACTGCGAAGTAGACGTCGAGCGGACGGCGTACAAAGGCCACGCGATGGAGATCGCGGAGAAGCTCGACGTGGAAGCTGTGGACGTCGTGGCGTGCGCGAGCGGCGATGGCTTGCCGTATGAGGTCTTCAATGGGTTGGCGAAGCAAGCGGAGCCGCGGCGGGCGCTGAGGAAGATCGCGGTGGCGCAGATTCCGTGCGGGAGTGGGAACGCGATGGCGGTTAATCTTTATGGCACGGACTCGCCGTCGTTGGCTGCTGTGGCGATTGTGAAGGGGGTGAGGACCGCGTTGGATTTGACGGCCATTACGCAGGGGGCGAATACTTACTACAGCTTTTTGTCGCAAGCGGTGGGGATTGTGGCAGAGAGCGATTTGGGGACTGAGTCATTACGGTGGATGGGTGGATTCCGGTTCAAATGGGGTGTACTGGTGCGTTTACTGGGCAAGACCATCTACCCGGCCGAGCTGTCCGTCGTAGTGGACAGCGACAACAAACGCGCCATCCGCGAAACCTACCGACACGCAATCGACGAGCACCAAGCAGCATCCACCAAACACCTCCCCACCTCACCCATCACCTCCCCCACCCTCCCGGCCACCAACCCCTCAACCCTCCCCCCCCTAACCTACGGCACCATCCTCGACCCCCTCCCCCCCTCCTTCCAAACCCAAGACCTCCCAACCCTAGGCAACTTCTTCGTAGGCAACATGGTCCTCATGTCCGCCGACGCGCGCTTCTTCGTCACCGCGCTGCCCACCGACGGCCGGCTGGACATGATCAACATCGACGGCTCGATCCCACGCACCAC